GCAGCACTATTTACAATACCTAAGATCTGGAAACTGTCCAAATGTCCATCAATAGACGAATGAATAAAAAAGCTGTGGTACATATACACAATGGAGTACTATGCAGCTGTAAGGAAGAAAGATCTCTTATTCTTTGAGACGACATGGAGGGAACTGGAGAGTATTATTCTAAGCGAAACAAGCCAAGCAGAGAAAGACAAATATCACATGATCTCACTTTTTTGTGGAATATAATGAACATAACAGTCTGAGTAATGGGTAGTCCCAGAGATATGGAAGTGGGGTACAGACTGACAATCCTCAGAAGAGGGGGTGATGGGGGAGAGATAAACCACAGAACTTATATGCATGTATGCATGAACAATGAACATGGACAACAAAGCTGGGGAGAGGGTGGCGAGGGAGGGGGAGGGTGTATCAGTGGGGGGGAAAAGAAGAAACATCTGTAACAAAAATAAATAAATTCATTTCAAAAAAAGAATGTATACAATTCAACACACACACACACACACACACACCCCCCAAACAACCAAATTAAATTGTAGGCACAAAACCTGAATAGATAATTCTACAAAGAGGACATAGTGATGGTCAATATACATATGAAAATTTGCTGAACAATCATCATCAACACTAATCATGAGAGGCATGTAAATTAAAGCCACACTGAAATACTACCTCACACCTGTCAGAATGGGTATCACCAATAAATGCACAAAAAGTGTGGTGATGATGATGATGTATAAAAAAAGAACCATGATGCATTGTTGGTAGGAATTCAAATAGTTGAAGCCACTATGAAAAACAGTGAGGAAGTTCTTTAAAATAGAATTTCCCAGTAGTTCCACTTCTGGGCATATATATATCTGAAAAATCACAAAACAGTAATTTGAAAGCATATACACACTTCATGTTGACTTCAGCATATTTACAACAAAGATATGAAAGTAATGTAAGTGCCTATCAACAGACGAGGGGATAAAAAAGTTGTGAAAGGCTTAAATAAAGAAAAAAAAAACCTTATAGACACAGACAATAGTATGATTGCCAGAGGGAAATGGGTAGGGGAGGTAGAAGAGGTACAGGGGAGATAAATGGTGATGGAAGGAGACTCGACTTGGGGTGGTGAACACATGATAAAATATACAGATGATATATTGTAGAATTGTACACGTGGAACCTATATAATTTTATTAATGTCACCCTAACAAATTTAATAAGAAAATATACTTTGAGAATAATTAAAATTAAGACAGATCATAACAAAACTTTTGAAATGCAGCTAAGTTAGTTTTTAGAACTTTAGAGGGAAATTCATAGCTCTAAACACCTATATTTAAAGAAGAATGATCTCAAATCAACTTCATAACCTGCTACCTTAAGACACTGCAAAAAAGTAAAGTAGGCTGAACCTAACGCAAGCAAAAGAAAGGAATAAACATTAGAGTAGAAATTAATAAAATAGAGAATAGAAATATAAAGAAAATCAATAAAGTAAAAGTTGTTTCTTTGCAAAGATGAACAAAATTCATAAGCCTTTATATAGAATGATCAAGACAAAAAGAGTATACTAAAACTACTAAAATTGGAAATAAGAAAAAAATAATATTATTACTGATATATGTATAAACAGGGCTTATATATAGATATGAAAGAATATTGCATATAAAGGAATAAAGGAATAAACAGTGGCAGACAGATAAATAAGATAACCTAGATGAAATCATAAAGTTTTCCAAAGATGCAAATTTCTGAAACTGACTCAAGAAGAAACAAAATTTCTGAATAGACCTAAAACAAATAAAGCTGGAACATTGGTGAATCAGAAAAATCGCCAACAGATATTTTGTAATAGTGCAGGTAGAGAAATCTGAACCTGCCAGGGAAATTGGAAGCCAACCACTTCCAGCTCGTGGATGGGACTTGGAAGGAAAGCTTATAGAGAAGTCTCCGGATGACTTGCTTCGCATTAGAGCCATGGCTGCTGTCAGTGAGTAGGAAAACTGTCAGAAGAGCAGACTGGAGAGAGAACAAAGAAGCTGAACTCCATTAACACCTTTGCATCTGTCTTCGCTGCAACAAATGATGACTTTAAGAGAACAATGTGCTGCTTCAATTCTGTCTTCCAAATTTCATCTGAGTGTGTGTGTGTGTGTGTGTGTGTGTGTGTGTGACCAACTCTTCAATGGAATAATACAGGGGAGGGGATTCTGGAAAATATAGTTTCAGTTTAGCCAAGTTGGCATCATGCCTTGATACATGATAGTCAAACTGGTGGTGGAAATAAGATAATCTCTCTTTTTAAAAGCCAAAAAACCAATGCATTACATAAAAGAGAATGATCTGAGTGATAATTACTTCCCATCTGGGTTTTTTTTTTTTTTTTTACTTAATTAATTTATTTATTTTTGTTACAGATATTTCTCCTTTCCCCCCTCCACTGATTCCCCCCTCCTTCCCCCGCCCCGCCCTGTCCCCAGCTTTGTTGTCCATGTCCATTGTTCATGCATACATGCATATAAGTTCTGTGGTTTATCTCTCCCCATCACCCCCTCTTCTGGGGATTGTCAGTACCCCACTTCCACATCTCTGGGACTAGCCAGAAGGCAGTACAATGACATTGTTAGAGTGCTGAGGGAAAAAACAAAACAAAACAAAAAAACTGCCAATCCCGACTTCTAAAAAAATGTACTTCAAGAATAAGGTAAATAATTTTAAGATAAAACTAAAACAATTCTTCATTCACTTAAGAAACATTTAAGCTTCAGTCTAGACTCTAGACTCTAGGGAAATGATAGCAGAGGCAAACTCATATATTCAGGATAAATGAACAGTACTAGAGATGCCTTATATCTAAATATAAAAGTATTTTTTGTGTTAATTACTTTATTTTTTATTTTATTTATTTTTATTTTTATTTTTTTTATCCTCACCCGAGGATATTTTTCCATTTTTTGTACAGATAAAGTGGGAGGGAGAGAGAGGAAGGGAGAGAGAGAGAGAAACATCGACGTGAAGGGACACATCGAGTGGCTGCCACCCGCGCGACCAACCAGGGCCGGGTACAAACTGCAACCGAAGTACATGCCCTTAGCGGGAACCAAACCCGGGTCTCTCCGGACCACAGGCCGACGCTCTAACCGCTGAGCCAAATTGGCCAGGGCTAATTACTTTAAAATATGTGATGACAGCTCTCCATCACCAAAAAGAATATGGGCGTGGTTACTCTAGTGGACAGCAAAGTCAGAATTATAGCATTGTTTATCATGGTTAATCAATAACATAGAGACATATAGAGATGTAAGACATGAAACCTAGCATTATAAACAATAAAAGGTAGAAATGGTCATTTATGGTCTCATTTTTTCTACATTTTACAATGTTAACTCTAAATAGACTAGGAAAAATTAAGTATATAATTTTAAGCCTTACAATTACCACTAAAACTAATGGGAAGAAGTATAGCTAAAAAGTCAACTGAGAAACTAAAATGAAATTCTAAATGTATTAAAGTAATCCAAAGAAAGCCAGGAATAGGAAAGCATAAAAATAAGAAACAGAAGGGACAAACAGAAAACAACTAATCAATATGGTCCATGAAAATATGTACAACCATATCAATAAAGGACTAAATGCTCAAATTTAAAAGGCTGAGACTATCAGAATACATAAAAAGTTAGGACCCAACTACATGCTGTTTACAGTGAGCCACTTTAAATATAAAGATAAAAGTTTGAAAATAAATGGATGTAAAATGATATACCATGCAAAAATAAGTATAGGAAGACTGGAGGTGCTATTTGAATATCAGAGAAAATAGACTTCAAGACCAAGAATATTAGCAGAGATAAGAAATGACATTTCAGCCCAGCCTGTGTGGCTTAGTGGGTTGACATTGTCCCATGGACTGAGAGGTCGCAGTTCGATTCCTGGTCAGGGCACATGCCTAGGTTGCAGGCTTGATCCTCAGTAGGGGGTTTGCAGGAGGCAGTTCATGGATGCTTCTCTCTCACATCGATGTTTCTCTCTCTCTCTCTAACAAATCGAAAACATCTTTTTAAAAAAAGAGTGACATTTCATAATTCAATTAATCAGGAAGACACACAATAATACATTTTTATTGACATAATGATAGAGATTAAAATATATAGAAGAAAAAATACATAGAGGAACAATTTACAGAATTAAAGGGAGAAATAAACCTAAAGTCAGGATTGGAAATTTTAAGCCCTTTTGTTAGCAATCAATCAGACAAAAATATTAATAAAAGACTAAATGATGTAAGTAATACCATCACTCATCATTACAACCAACAAATGCAAAATGCACATTATTTCAAGCACACATGATCATATACTGAGCCAAAGAACAAATATGATTGGATTTAAAAGAATTGAGTACAAGTATGTGTTTTGACCACACAGGAAGTGAATTAGGAATCAATAATAATAATATATCTAGGAAACTTCCAAATATTTGGAAATTAATCTACAGATCTTTACATAATCCATACATCAAAAAAAATCATTCAGGGTATTAGAAAATACTTTGAACATTTAAGTGATAATAAAAAATATAAGAATTACATTTTTTTTCAGGGTACAGATGGAGCACTGCTTATAGGAAAATGTTTAGCATTCAATGTTGATATTTGAAAATATGAAAGACCTAAATGTTATGGCTTCAGTCTTCACATAAAGAAACTAAAATGAAGGAGAGGAGTAAACCAAAAGTACAAGAAAGAAAATTATAAAGAACAACAACAACAACAACAAAAAATCAATGAAAGAGAAAATAGTCAATAATAGAGCAAATTAATAGACAAATTTGGCTCTTTGAAATGATCGATAAAAGGAATGCAGTTTATTATAGGTAAATTATATCTTAATACATTTTACTTACGAAAATATATTTCTGGGGACAAAGAGTTTTCTTTTCTCTAACTGAGGTAGTCATGTAGCTCCATGAGTTATTCTTAAGATCCATGCTTAGTTACTCACCTTTTTGTATTTCTTATAGATACCAAAGTAAATGTATTGATTGAGAAATTTTCTTAGTTTCCAAACATTTGTCTCCCAAAAGAAAATCAAGAGAAGGTAAATAACGCCTATGGTACTCATCATAATTATATATATTCCAATCGTTTGCCCTTCCAAAGAATAAACACTCTTTTCAGTATCTGAGAATGACAAAGGGGGGGAGAGAGAGAGAGACATTACCACAGGACATTGACACAATGAACACAGCCTAAAAAAACAACAAATAGTATGAAATATAAGATAAAATAAAATGTTAGGCTAAGTGGACAGGTATTTAGACTGTGAGAAGTGATTGTTCTGGTACACAAATACCATTTGAATAATACATTTTGAAGGCTGATTTTCATGAGTATAATATATGGTAATCAATAAGCCTATTACTATTAACATATTAATTGATGTGTTTCATAATTATTGCATGTCATAAAAATACTCTTAAATCCTTTCAGAAGTTTAAAATCTGAAATTTATAATTAGAAGAATGTATTAGAGTGCAAATACTATTGAAAAAGATAACAGTATGCTTTAAAACAGTAAAAATAACAATTATCTGACACTTTTTGAACTTTTCTTAAAAGAATACTTAATTGAGAGGAAGGGAAAGAGAAAGAGAAACATTGATGTAAGAGCGAAACATCAATTGGCTGCCTTTTGCATGCCCCTTACCGGGAATGGATCCCCCAACCTGGGCATGTACCCTGATGGAGAATTGAACTGGCAACCTTTTCAGTGCTTGGGACAATGCCCAACCAACAGAGCAGCACAGTTCAGGGTTTGAACTTTCTTCAGAAGTTGAGTGAAAAGCACAGAATTCCTGTTATAAGTGAATTACAAATGCCCCTAATCTTAAAAAAATTTTAGAATGGTTTTAAATTTACCAAAAAAAAATTGTAGAGTACAGAGAAATCCATATACCCTGCATCCAGTTTCTCTTATTATTAACAACATACACTGGTGTGGTATATTACAATTAATGAGCAAATATTAATACATAATTATTAACTAAAGTCCCTAATTTATTCAGATTTTCTAGTTTTTAAAAAATGTTATGTTTTTGGCCCTGACCATGTAGCTCAGAAACAAATTAATAAAAATAATTAAAAAAAAAATAGAACATTGTCCTTATATTCCAAGGTTGCAGGTTCAATCCCCAGTCAATGCACATAAAAAAATCACCCAATGCATACATGAATCAGTGGAACAACAAATTTTCTCTCTCTCACTCCAAAACTAGATGAATAAACAAATAAAGTATTATAATTTTTTTGTTCCATAATCCAATCCAGAATACTGCATTTAGTGGTCATGATTGCTTAGGTACTTCTTGGATGTGATAGTTTCTCAGATTTCTTTATTTTTGATGACATTGACAGTGTTGAGTAGTACAGGTCAGACATTTTGCAGGATATCCCACAATTGGGTTGTTGTTTTTTTTCCCCATAATTAGACCAGTCAAATGGGTTCATGGGATTTGGGGAGGAAGATAACAGAAGTGCCATTTTTATATCATATTTTAAAAGTTCATACTATCAATATGATTTATCACTTTTAATGTTGACCTTGATCACCGGATTGAGGTAGTTTGTCAACTATGCTTTGGGTACTATGGACATTTCAATGATGATAATTCTTTCCATCTAAAAGCATGGTATAGCCCTGGCCGGTTTGGCTCAGCGGTTAGAGCGTTGGCCTGTGGTCCAGAGAGACCCGGGTTCGGTTCCCGCTAAGGGCACGTACTTCGGTTGCAGTTTGTCCCCGGCCCTGGTTGGTCGTGCGGGTGGCAGCCACTCGATGTGTCCCTTCACGTCAATGTTTCTCTCTCTCTCTCTCTCTCCCCCTCCCCCTCTATCTGTACAAAAATTGGAAGACTGTCCTCGGGTGAGGATAAAAAAAATAAAAAAATAAAAAATAAAAGCATGGTATATGTTTCCACTTATTTGAACCTTTTTCAATTTCATTCTTAATTGTCTTATAATTTTCTGAGTACAGGTTTATTACCTCCTTGGTTTAATTTATTTCTATGTATTTTATTTTGTGGATGCAATTATAAAGGAGATTTTTTTTTTTTTTAGTTTCCATTTCTTGTAGTTAATTTTTGGTGTATAAAAAGGCAACTAATTTCTAAATATTTATTTTGTATCTTGCTATATACTGAATTCATTGATCAGATTTAGTACTTTTTTTCGGTGGAATATTTAGGGTTCTCTATATGCAGTATCATGATGTCTGCAAATTATGACAGTTTTACGTCTTACTGGCTATGATTTTAAGTACTATGCTGAAAAAGACTGGTGAAAGTGAACATCCCTGACTTGTTCTTCTTTTAATTTAATTAATTTATCTATTTTTGTTACAGATGATTCTCCTTTTTCTCCCACTGATTCCTCCCTCCCCGCCCTGTCCCCAGCTTTGTTGTCCATGTCCATTGTTCATGCACACATGCATATAAGTTCTGTGGTTTATCTCTCCCACATTATCCCCTCTTCTGGGAATTGTCAGTCTGTACCCCACTTCCACATCTCTGGGACTACCCGATTCCTCAGACTGTTATGTTCATTGTATTCCACAAATAAGCGAGATTATATGATACTTGTCCTTCTCTGTTTGGCTTGTTTGGCTTAGGATAATACTTTCCAGGTCCCTCCATGTCGTCTCAAACAATAAGAGATCTTTCTTTCTTACAGCTGCATAGTACTCCATTGTGTATATGTACCACAACTTTTTCTATCTATTCGTCTACTGATGGACATTTGGGCTGTTTCCAGATCTTAGTTATTGTAAATAGTGCTTCTACAAATATGGGGGTACATATATTCTTTCTGATTGGTGTTTCAGGCTTCTAAGGGTATATTCCTAGGAGCGGGATCACTGGGTCAAATGGAAGTTCAATGTTTAATTTTTTGAGGTAACACCATATTGTTTTCCATAGTGGCTGCACCAGTCTGCATTGCCACCAGCAGTGTACTAGAGTCCCCTTTTCTTCACACCCTCTCCAACACTTGTTTGATGGTTTGTTGATGACGGCCATTCTGACAGGTGTCAGGTGATACCTCATTGTTGTTTTAATTTGCATCTCTCTGATGATTAGTGATGTTGAGCATTTCTTCATATGTCTCTTAGCCATTTGTATGTCCTGTTTGGAGAAGTCTCTATTTAGTTTCTCTGCCCATTTTGTAATTGGGTTCTTTGTCTTCCTTTTGTTGAGTTGTATGAGCACTCTCTCTATATTGGAAATTAACCCCTTATCTGCTATATCATTGGCAATTATGCTCTCCCATACAGTGGGTAGCCTTTCCATTTTGATGATTGTATCTTTTGCTGTGTAGAAACTTTTGACTTTGATGTAGTCCCATGTGTTCATTTTCTCCTATGTTTCCTTAGGTGATATATCAGTAAAAATTTTGTGGCATTTGTCTGAAATTTTGTTCCCTACAGTTTCTTCTAGGATTTTTAGGGATTCATGAGTCACATTTAAGTCTTTTATTCATTTTGAGTTTATTATTGTGTATGGTGTAAGTTGTTGGTCTAGTTTCATTTTTTTTTTTTTTTTTTGCATGTAGCTGTCCAATTTTCCCAACACCATTTATTAAAGAGGCTGTCCTTACTTCACTGTATGCTCTTGCCCCCCTTTGTCAAATATTAATTGAGCATATTGTCTTCAGTCCATTTCTGGGTTCTCTATTCTGTTCCATTGATCTATATGCCTGTTCTTGGGCCAGTACCAGGCTGTTTTGATTACAGTGGCTTTGTAGTATAACCTGAAATATAGTAATGTGATCATTCCAACTTTTTTCTTTTTTTTTTTTCAAGATTGCTGTGACTATTCGAGGTCTTTTTTGGTTTCATATGAATTTTTGAATATTTGTTCTAGTTCTGTGAAGTATTTTGTTGGTATTTTGATGAGGATTGCATTGAATCTATAGATTGCTTTTGGTAGTATGGACATTTAAATTATGTTAATTCTTCCCATTTATAAACAAGGTATGTGCTTCCACTTTTTTATATCTTCCTCTATTTCTTTTTCTCAATGACCTCTGGTTTTCTGCAAATAGGTTCTTTATTTCTTTGGTTAAGTTTATTCCTAGGGAGGAGAAAAAAATGGCGGCAGAGTGAACGGAGCTACACAGACCGTCTCCCAGAACCAAACTGAAATTACAACTTTAACACAGACAAATCGATGGGAAAAACCAACAGAAAAGCAGCTTGTGAGGAACAAACAACGCGGGACACTGACTCCATCCCAGTAGGCTTGCGAAGGCGCGAGACGGGGCTGGGAGCCCACGGTCCGCAGCTCAGAAGCAGCCTTAGCTGTAAGCGGCGCGCTCGGGTTACACTCCCAGGCGGCTCCACAGCGCAGCCGGGACAGAGGCTGAAACAGCCACAGCCACTCACCTTGGGCTCCGGCAGAGGGAGGGAGGACTGGACTGGAAATGTGTCGGGACATTCGGGGTTTGGAGGGCGCTCGGAGCTTTGGCTGAGTGCAGCCACTCAGGACGGTGGCCACATTGCTCCTTCCCTGGGCTCTGAGGAGAGGCAGCAGCCCCTCCCTCAGAGATCCAACCAAACCCTGTGGGCCATTGAAGTGCTAATTGAGGCTCACTAACAACCAGCATCTGCCCCACCCTCGTGAAAGCCCCTTGGCTGAGCACCAGAGGGAGTTTTTCAATCAACTGACAACCCAAAACTGATCAATTAACCTAGACTGCTAGCCTCCAGGCAAATAGCTAGAGGATAACAGTACGTTTCCTGGGCTGGCAACTTTAACCAGGAAAGTGAGACTTGACAGTGGTGTTCAACGTGGGTCCTCCCTCGCTCATCTAAACAGAGGAGAGGGAGCCACAAGCAGCAGAACACCAACACCCACAGGGAGAACTTCACAGGCTCCAAAGCCCACAGTGATAGCCAAAATGGTGAAACACAGAAACAGAAGCCAAATGAAAGAGCAAGAGACCTCCACCGAAGATGAGATCAATGTGGAGCAATTAGGCATGTTAACAGAGCTAGAATTCAGAGCCATGATCTTGAGGAAGCTGAACAGCATGAGTAAGGACATAGAGGCACTGAAAATAAGCCAATTGGAAATTAAAAACCAACAAGAAGAGATAAAAAATGACATATCAGAAATGAAAAACACATTGGA